CCTAGACAGTGGTGGAAAGGTGAAGGCTTTCAATGCAATGGGAAGTTTCCCTATGGTGCCTACCTTGTGGTTCTGCCAGGGTTTTCCCCAGACATAATCCCTTTCCATCTACTTCACAAAGATGGAGCAGGGTAAAAAAAAAAAAATCTTATTTCAATGGCACTGAACTCTTGGGATTATGGCTTCTTTCAAAGACCAGGAATGTGGTGCCTAGAATCTAGATTGTCACCCTGAGCTCTATCCCTTAAGTGAACAACTGCTCCTGCAGTGTTCAAGCTGCTCTCTTGCAAATGAGACCAAAGCAAAGGTCTGGCCACTCATCGTAAGCCCGTGGATTTTCTCCCACCATTTGGGGTGTTAGGCACCGCACCTTGGCCACAGTCCAGTCTGGACCATTACATTGGGGTGAGCAAACGTCACCCTCCAGCTCCAATAAATATAGTATTCTTTCGGACTAGCTTCCAACAGCCTTTGTTATGCTGCTATGGGCCATTAAAGAGCTAGCTAGTCTGCACTCAGATGCCTGTATTTGTGAAAAATCGATACCCCTAGTATAACTTTCTACACTAACAATAGTCTATTCCAAAATACCACTGGCTAAGTTAATTATCTTTTCTTGTTTTATACAGTGTCAGAAACAATGACAAACTACAGTAAGCTCTTCTCCATTTTCTCAACTTTTACTATTCATACAGATACAAAATGAAATATTTGCAACATTACACACAGGAGGTCCAGTACATGTTCCACAAAATACACACTGAGTTCCTACCACGTGCCAGGCAATACTGTTGTAGGTACCGGGCACTGCTGTAAGGGCCGTGGGTTTTGTTCTCAGCATCAATTTGAAAAGCCTCCAAAGGGGATAATTCAATGTAATTCTCCCAATGCTGGTGCATTTCTGAAAATCTCAATATACAGGTTTACTTTAAAAACTGCCATCCACAGGTCTCCCAATCCAAAGCTACTTCTGTCTACTCTTAAAATAAAAGAAAGAAGAGTCTATAGGACCTTCAACTTCCACGTGTATGTGAGTATGTGTGCAAGATATATGTGTCTAAGAATGAGAGGATATGCTTTCTTGGCTAGCCTGGAGGGCAACAAATGGGTGCTGCTCAGATATATATTTGTTTCCTTGTTTTAAGTAAGCATCCTACTTGTGTAGGTAAGAGTTTACAGGTTACAACAGCAGAAGCTGGCATAAGAAAATTGAAAATGTAAATACCTCTTGTTTAAAGCTTCCCTTTACTATATTAAAAAACAGAGAAAACACAAATCAAGTCCTTTAGTACTCCATCATAAGGATGAAAACAACAAAAAGGGAAAAAAATGTATCATGTATGTGTTTGTACATACACACATTATCTTGTACATGAAGACAGGAAAGGGAAGTTCATTAAATGTCAAGATTCCGGTGGATTAAATTAAAGGTATGAACTACAGAATATTTAACATCATGCTATGCCAAGAGAAATGGTTCCAAAATTTTTAAATATAATTAATCTTAAAATTCAGATTAATCCTAGAGGATCCAAAACAAATACTTGTCCTGGACAAACCATAATCAGACTGGAAAATGTTTGTTTTGGGGTTTTTGGTTTTTTTTAATCAGTGAAGTTCCCTTGAAATCTACCAAATTATTATTCTGCTTGAAAATCCTTCTAGCTAGAACAAGTTAATAGCAGGCTTCTAAAACTAGGTTAAACATGCTGTAAATCAATTATTCCCCCTACAAATCTGCTAACGTGCTTGCTTTTCTGGTGAAAATGGCTCTTCAGTGGTACTTAATACTGTCACTGCATTCTTTCTCCAACCAGTCCACTCCAAATTTTTCTACTTGAGGTGTCATATTAAAATGAAATGACTACCTTTATGATAAATAATAAACAAAGGAATACAGGCTCTTTAAAATCGCATAAGGAACCTCAAAAGGCATTATGCATGCAATACACTTCCCAAGTTTAGGAGAAATGCTAAACAATGTATATGTGATCCAAGGTTGCCATCCAGTAATCTATTCATTACAATTTTAGAGTTAAGAAACAACCTGCACTAATTACCATCTCTCACAGATAGATGACTTGTCTTCCAAAACAGGCTTCAGGTAACACTTTCGGCAAGACAGCTTTGATAAAAGACTGAAACGAGTATTATGCAGTGACACAGTTTATCCCACATACATTAAAGAGTCCAGATCAGCACACCGACAGTATGTCTGTCATGTCGCAGACAGGAGACTGGAGGAGTGATTAATTAGCTGTTAACATTTAAACTCTTGCAGGTATACCAGCTGACCAACACAATCCTCCATCTCATCCCTGTTTAAAAGTCACATAGAGATAATAGATCATTACAGATTGTCCAAAGCTGTAAACAATTACCCAGGCCAGGGATGGGGCTTCCCCAGTTTGGGGAAAGAGGTGGGGGTCATAGGACTGTCACAGATTGAAGGCAGAATACATAGTATACAATGTATCTAAGACTATAGTGTAGCCTCATGTCAATACTGAGTTTTTACTCCCAAATATTACTGTATTTTCTAAGTATTTTATTAGGATAAAAATCTCGGTCACAAATGTTATGTAAGTAAACAAACAAACAAACAAACAAAAGTCAGGGGAGGAAATGGGAAATTTTTTCATGTGTGACCCGAGGGAAGACATCCTGGAGATAGCTCTGTCACCAGGGTCAAGTCACATCATCTCACTGTGCCGCAATGTGCCTTAAAATTAAAGGGTTAGGACAGAGCATCAATCTCTAATTCACTCCTAGCAGTAAAATTCAGTCATCTATTTAAGCATCATAGAGAACTCAAAGTTTCTGTAAAACCCTGAGAGCACCTGACAGCAGCAGAAAATGTGCTTACGATGTTTAATGAATGACGATAAAGGGAAGAATGAGAAGGGACTAAACACTCCTCCCGGTCTTGCATTTTTCAGTTTATTCTAAGCGAAAGAGGGCACTTGAAATTGGATGCTTCATTTCATCCCACAATAACAATATAATTCTTATTTAATAAAATGTTTAAATATTCTTTTTAAAAACATCCCCCAAAAGAAAAGCTTCGCGTTACTCAAATAAAACTTAGTAGATTTGTCTCATTTAGAGGGTTGCAATGCTTGAGCTACAATATCGGTATCAGGATGTGCAAGCAGCTGTCACTGCTTTGTTTTTCATTCACAGTAGGTGGTTGCCAAGCAACAAAATACTATTGTCTGTTTCCATGATCTATTGGCCAATTCTACTGGTGATAATGCTTTCTACAGTTTAAAACAGGGCCACCTTCGGACAAGAATGAGAAAAAAATTCTGAGGATGACAATACATGTATATAAACAAATACACTGAATGTATCCCCAAGCTCTGCATATAAATGTATAGCTGTGTGTTCATATACATATATAGGTTTTGCCTATATGCATATGTGTGTGTGACTATATACATTCTTCTCCTATCTACCGCCAAACCCATTAAATCTGATAGGCCAAAATCTAGAATCAAAATCCCTGAGGGCAAATCAAGGCATGAGCTAGAGATATGAAGACATAGCAAGAATTATTTTTTTCAACAATAGCAATAACTTCCAATTTGCCGGAAGTATCAAATTCTGTTCCTTGAATACAAAATTCTCGAGTCAGAAAAGCAATTCTATCTACTTATATAAAAATAATAATAAATGGAGAGGCTTGACTATCTGCTTTGGAATCGTATAACATATTTAATATGCTATTTTACTAAATAGCATGTGCTACCACTGTGTACAAAGAAAACAATTCAAATGGGAAAATTTGGCTGCTGTTTACATCCAAGAATCATTTTTAAAATAACTGAATTGTTCTCCCTGAAATAGCCTCACGTGATTCCCCACTTTGTTCTGATATGGGTCTCTGGGGAGTAACAGTCATGCTATGTTACTCTTGCATATTTCACTGGCTTACAAATAATATAACACACAGTGCACTCAATATAAAGTTGTCAACATTAACTTGCATCAGTTGCTGTTTGTTTTGCAACAAGGCTTCTAAAGATAAGAATTACAATATTCTTAGATATCTGTGCAGACACAACATCAGAACAGCCTGAAGGAATTAAAGCTTGAAAATGCTAGAGGCAATCATGCTTCAAAATGAGGAAAGATCTGTATCATTTATGCATTGTTTACAAAGGTCCTAAATAATGCGAGAACAATCTTTGGACTTTATACAATGCTCACCCATCTTCCTTCACCATATTTCGAAAGCACTCTAACTATGTAGTGCATCCCTCTAGAGGAGCCTTTGAAATTCACTTTTTTGAAATTCCCTTGTTCGAAATTCATTAACACTTGCAAACCTATATATTACAAGAAGCTGGAATATGCAAAATCCACTTCGTGGATTGACATTACTATATAGTCTCCTATCAAAGGGGGTAACACTAGCAAAACAGAAACAAAATGTGTGAATACTGAACTAAATACTAGCCCAAAATTACCCCTTTCCCAGACAGAGTCCTTTTCAGCAGAATGCACCTACCTCTTGGGAGCGCCGGTCTAGGTTTCTCCTTCACATCTCACCCCACAAATGACCCACCTCGTCCTCCCTCGGCTTCCCAAGCTCGCTCGCCTGCGTGTCTCCTCCAAGTAACAAGGTCCTTCCCGCTTTTCCCCACCCTTTTCAGATCCCTTAAGCACCCATTACTTTCTCCAAACTCCTGGGCTCAAATCTGCAGCCCCATGTGCCATGAACCTCCCCGTAAGCCCGTTTCCTCGTTTTTCTAGATCTGCTTTAAACATCGATACCACCGCACAAATACAATATTAATAAAAGTAGGGCTACAGGTTTTTCTCTAAAAAATATATACCAGTAAAATGTTGAGAAAGAGACAGAAAAAGGAGAAAAGCAGGAGCGAGTCTGAAGGAAGGAGGGTGGGTGAGTAGCTGTACACAAGAGGCCGCGGGGACCCCACCGAGCCGGGCTTGGCTACCTGTAGACCCCACTTCCCCCATGTGCGCGCCGCGGGATGACAACCACAACCCGCCAGAACCACCCACCTCCGAAAAGGAGGCGGGGTTACGCCTTCAGCCAATCAGGACCCGCGCGCCCCGGGTGTCCAACCTATGGGGTGGCTGTGGCCGTGCAGGGGGAGGACGGGGGTGGTCCGGGAGGGGCCGCGTCCGTGGGAGGCGCGCACGTGTCGCGTCCCGGTAGGTGGGGAGCACGAGAGGAGGCCGGGGTCCAGGTCCCGAGGCGCGGGCTCTGCCCCCGGGCGGCCCTCGAGTCCGGCCGCCCCGTGCCGCCTTCGCCTCGGGCTCGGCCGGCAGGACGTGCTCGCGCCGAGGAAGACCCGTCCACGGTGTCCGCTCTCCCCGCGTCGCGGGGACAGCCACAAATAACAACACTAGCACCTAGCGCGGACGAGGCAGGGAGGAAAGTTTCCGGCCCGCGCCAGAGCGGAGTCCGCCCGGGCGGGGAGCGCGGGGCATGCGGGGCGGGGGGACGCCAACCTGGAGAGAAGGGAGCCGCGGGCGGGCTGCGGGCGCGGGACGCGGTCCCGGGCGCGGGGCCGGGGGCGACGGGGTGCGCTGTCCAAGGTGCAGGGGAGGCGGGAGGCGCGCGGCGGGCGCGGAGCTCCGCGCCAGCACCGGCTGGCGGCGGCGGAGGGAGAGCTGTCGGGGGTGCCGGGCACCCCGGGCTCGTAAAAGTGCCAGGGCTGGAAGTGGGGAAGGGCGCGGGGGCGCTGCGCCGGAGCCCCCGCGCGTTTGAGCGCCCGCCGTCCCGGCTCACCTCTGGCTCCGCGCCCCTCCCCCAGCCCACTCCCCTCGGCGCCTCCGTCCCGGAGCCTGGGCGGGGGCGGGACCCGGGAAGCCAGGCTTCAAGCCCGGACGCCCCAGCGATGGAGGCTGCGGGCCCCGGAGCGGCTTACCTGGGGCCGCGGGACCGGGCGCGGAGGCAGCCCGCCCCTTGGAGCCGGGCGCCGGGCGCGGCGCGGCCGCTCCTCGCCGCGGCGTCCTCCTTCCGCGCTTCTCCTGGACTCCGTCCCGGGCGCGGCGCTGCGAGACGGGGCCGGGCCGCCGCCGCCGCCGACAGAGGACGCCCCGCGGCGGCTGGAAGCCTGTGTGAGTAGCAGCGCCCGGGAGAGCGGGCTCGGCTGAGGGGCGCTGGAGACTCCGCGGCTCGGGGCGCGCGGGCGGGCGTGCGCACGCGCGCCTGCGAGTGGGAGTGTGTGTGAGTGCGCGCGCGCGCCCACGGGGTGGGGGAGTCGCGAGAGGAGGGGGACAGAGGTCCAGTTGCTCGCAGGGACCGAGGCGGAATTCTTCGCCCCCGGAAATCCGTCAACCCTGGGAAGGAGGCTCGAATGCGCGACTCGCCCGGGGAGCGCCCCGCCGGGCAGCGGCGGCGGAGGAGGAGAAGGCGGCGCGCGCGGGCTCGGGATCCGAGCGGGGCTGAGCCGAGCAGAGCGCGCAGCCACGGATGCAGCAGAGGCGGCGCCCGCAGCCCACGGTCGCGCTGCCCCCTGCAGGGAGGGGCCCGCCGCTCGCTCCCGCCGCCGCCGTCCGGACCTCTTGCCTGGGCGTGGGGGGACGGAAACCGGGGGCCCGCCGTCCCCGATGCAACCTTGGAGGCGCTCGCGCCGCTGAGGGGCCGAGCAGAGAAGCGGGGCGCAGGTGGCCGACCGCCGGCTGCAGCCGGCGCGTGCAAGGGCTGCGGGCGTGGAGTGGGCGGTGGAAGCCGGCCCAGCGCGGCCCGACGCCCGGCCTGGGGAGCAGATGCGGGGCGGGGGAGCGAAAGCGGGGTCTGTGGAGGGTGCGGTCGGCGTGCACGCTCGGGGGGCGGGGGGCGCGTCTCACTCCAGGTGGAATGTTGCCTTTCTCCCTCCTCCGGAGGCCACTTTCCCTCCAAGTTACCCACTTCCCAGGTAAAAGTGCCGGCCTCCTTTGTTCGGATTCAGCTAACTGTGCAAGCATCAGACCGGTGTCTCTGGAAGTCAGACTCCGCCGAGAAGGGTCCAGAGAGGCCAGCCAGGCGCCTTGCCCCCTTAAACCCCCCACGCCCTCATTCATCCAAGTCACACTGTATACCTTAGAAGTAATAATTTCAAGCACATTTACATGCCCTCCCTCCTAAAAGACACGTTGTCCTCGCAGTATCCTTCTCCATGTTTATTTTAAATTCTGAGTGCAATTTTATTTTATTCATCCGAGAATTTCTTGAAGGGTCCTAAAATACTTGAAATAGCCTCCGTGTCAGGAACCCCTGGCAGGGATTGTGTTTTGCATACTCTTGTGTGCTCTCCAGTACTCAGCACAGTACCATGTACTTTGTGTGTTCTCTTTAAATGTTGAATGAATGACATTGTTTTCTAGCTTCACATATCCTGGAGGCAAAGACTTGGATCCTGGGAAAGTCATTAGTAACCCATCAGGCTTGCTTGATTTTAACTTATGCCATTTCCCTGTGTGTGGCTATTTTCCCCTCTGGAGGCCAGAGCTCCAGCGCAAAGAAAGGCAACAGAGAATACTGACCCATTGTGCAACCTTTCCGAAGGGTGCAAGCAGAGAGCAGTGTGCAGGGAAGCCAATGGGTACCCTGGGTGTGAGAAGGCTGAAGTGTGTGTGCTTCGCTTCAGTGCTGGGGGAATCTAACCTCTCAAAACAGAAATGTCGCCATTCATTGGCAGTTTATAATGCCCCTTCTAGAAGGACAGGAAAAGAGTATTAAGAGAAATACACCTTTCTAAAAGCTTGTCAGGTACAAGCTTTTCTCTTGTAAAGAGCGTTACTTCATGGCCATTGCCAGTACACTCAGGGTCACCCCAGACATCCTGCAACCTTGGCATGTTTCCAGCCATACTCTTAGAAGCAAAAGTCCTCAATTTTACATTCCATGCTAAATTTCAATTCCTTTGAACTTGGACTGTTCTGTGAACTGCTTCTCTCTCCACTCATGATATCACCGCTTTGAAAACTAACTGAAATAAAGTGAAAATTAAAATGGATTTATTTGGGTGCCGCTGTGTGTTCTCTAGAGGGGGTCCCTTTAAATGACTTCTCTTCTGTCACTCAATTTACAATATTCTTAGAAGCCATTTTTTTGTGTGTGATAGGGAATCCTTGTGCTTTTTTGTTATTTTGAAAGCTTAGATATTTATTTATTTTTTAATTTATTTATTTATTTATTTTTACTTGAAAGGAAGCTCTAGAACTTCCAGGAAGAGCAGAAAAATTCTTGATACCCAAAATGAACTCTGACAGCCAACCTTTAAAAATGGGTATGATCAAAATCTTCCAAAATAATTTTAAAGCTTTGTTTTCCTTAGAAAGTTCCCTTTAGGGTTTCAACAATGTCCCACATGTTTGTCTTACTTGGAATGAAGAAGAAAGCCACACCCTCTCTGATGACCACCAAAGGGAGCAGTTTTGTCTTTGTAAAAATAAATACATTTATAAGAAGCCAACATTTGCAAAGTAAGAATGTAGGCTTACAGCAATCTTAATATATGTTAATTTAAAAGATAAATAGAATAACAACATAGGATATATAGTATTTCTGACCCACTTAAACATAAAAGTTTGAAGGAACAGCTATAAGCCATAACACCTCATGCTACTTAAATACTAAATAATAATAAAAGGTACTCTTAAGAGATTCATTTTCATATGTTACTACCAGTTGGGTTGAGAATCAATAGCATAATTCTAAAGGTCCTATCTTTCTTCCTAAAAAGGGAATGTTCCTTAAAGTAACTGATTTTTTCGATTTGCAGCAATGCAAAAAAAACTAGTCAAACATTAACTTCCTTAAAAACACAGGATTGGAAAAGGGCGGGGTGTGTGGAGAAACACCTTAAACTGATTTGACCACAGCTAAGTTCCACCCTGTCAGTCTAAATAAAAAAAACTAAAGCCTTCTACCTCCGAAGACTGGTAGATTTAGGCTGTGAGATGTACCATGCATTCCAAAATCAACTCCTCATGATGGGAGCACATTGCCCCAAATTCTCTTAAGTGAGACGGCAGAGACCGTTAGCTGAAGTGCTGCTGTGGGTTTTACTGGTTGTGAGCATGCATCAGGATACAGGTAATTTCTCCCATAATGAGGTCCCAGATCACTTAGTCCATTAGAGTTTTAAATGATGAAAAGCACCTTGACCTGCACCCAAACACAAAGTACCAGCTCAGTATAGAGCGTAACCTGGGAGCTAGGAGACGTCTCAAGTCATCATGTGTGTAGTCATGCTTTTGTGCATTGCTTTTTTCCAGATATTATTTGGGGTAACTGAATTCTGACTGGACATCACGCATCTTTAGGAAAATCAAAATAAGAGAAAAAAAGCTATAGTTTCCCCCCAAGCAAAAGTAGGCAGTTTTTCTTAGTTGATTATCAGTGCTGACATTTCAGATGCAAGTGATATGATATATTAGATACTCATGGTTCTTCATAGTCTATGGACCTACGGGGTTCCTGAAAGCTGAAAAAAGCTGTGGATCATCTCCTCAGGAAAATGAACAGATGAACGTACAAACAATTTTTGAATAAAATTTGAGGGAGTTGAGGGAACCTCCTGTGAAGCTCAGGTTAAGAACCCGTGTCTCACATCGATCCTTTACACATTGACATTTATGGCTAAAGGGAAATGAATCGGTAGATTTACTAATGTCCTCACTTCTATTTTTAATCTAAAGGAGATGCATAAGCAAATCAGTAAACCTAACAAGTTATTTATTGAGTCCCTACTTCATAATCAGTTCTGTTCCTCGTGCCGTGGTTATTACCAATAAAGTATAAAACACAATCTATCTCCGCTTTGAAGGAGCCTAAAATCTAGCTATCATTGCTCTTGGAAACAAAAAAAGGGAACATAAGAATAATTTATCACTTGACCAGGTACAACAAACTTCCATTTGAATTACCAATACAACTTAATGAAGCTATTTGTTAAATAAACACACCATTCAGCTGAAAATTATTAGTGGCCAATGTAGGCATGCATATTTTCATATTCGTGTTCTCTAGTAGTAATCACTTAGATTATCACATGATGTGTAAAGTAAAAAGCTATTCTGCTGTATTCTGAATTCTAGCTGTGGGAGAGGAAGAAAATTACTGACAAGAGAAAATGGACCATGCTGTCAATGGCCGCTGTGGATTACCTATCACTGGAGATCCCTGGGCAGAGTGGAATTGAGTAGAATATGCTAGAGTTTATATTCAACTGATATAAAAATTAGTAGAGCCACCCATGTCTTTTTAAATTTCTATACCCACAAAGACCCAGCAGTCTATATTCTTGGATCATTTTAACATTTCATTACTCTCCTTAAAATTTCTTAATTTTTACCTTCTCAGTTTTTCACTTGTTAATACAGAATTATTTTTGGTTACTATAACTTTTATAAATACCACTCCTTTACTCAATTCATAACAAAATTATAAAGAGTAGAAAAGCAATAATCCAAGGAAACAAGACGTTTTCAGAGCTTAAAAGCAATGCTACCATGAACTTCCCTTCCACTTATGAGCACAGGGTGGCATAGACGTAAAGCCAGTCACGTAATTCGAGCTGTTGAAAGCCAACCATCCACATATTGAATAATTTATATCACCTGCCTCCTCAGGGGCCCCAGGAAAACCAGGACTGTCAGTCACACCTTTTTCCTTTGCCAGAGGCAATCTCAGTGTCATATAAAACTAGCACTGGGCACCAAGTCATAAGGTCTGAGTTCAAATCCTACTCTGACCAGCAACTGGTATGAGATCTTGGGTGACTCACTTTCTGAGCTTCAGTAGGCCCTCCTGTGTAATGTGGAGAGTACCAGCCACCTCGCTGATGAAGAAAACTACATTAAGTAGCGTTTCCTTCTTCCTTAGTGTGAGAAAGGGTCCCTCATGCTTTAGAAGCTAACTCTTTGTGTCATCTTGGGTCTAAGTCGACAGTGTGTGGCACATAATTGAAGCACACACATGAAAGGAAGCTCTTGTAGGAATGCTGGAAGCCTTTGTTAGATTATAACTGAAAGAATGTTGAACTGATTTGATGATTCTTGGGAGTCCCTTCCAAAGATATTTTAAGAAAACCACAGACAACCAAAAATTGGCAGAAACAGACACATGCAGGAAATTGTGGGTTCCATAATTCTAGAGGTGCTGTAATTCTATAAATTCTGCTGCTGTTGCAAAACCCAAGCTTTTGTGTTCATTTGTTTTTAATTAGTCTGTTTTCTTCATCACACAGATTCTGCTTCCCCAATAGTGCTTTGCCCTGCTCATGTAGCTATGCAAAAATTTATTTTATAGATTAATAACAACCTTAAAATTTCTTTATTTAAAACAAAATAGTTCACTGTTTTCTCCCCCTTAATTGTAAAAGAAGTGTGCGCTCATTGGGGGGGGGGGGAAATAGGCAATACAGAAATGTATAAAGAAGAAAAAATTGCTGTAACATCACCTCCCAGGGACCAACCACCATTACTATTTCGGTATATAACCTTCCAGACATTTTCTTTGAATAGGTATATTTTTTTAAACTGTCATTTAAATCAAAGTTCAGCCATTTAAATGCTAGCATTTTAGCAAAACCAGTTACAACACTTTCACCAAAAAATTCAGAAGTGGATTTATTTCTTTTTGCTTTCATGCTCTTTCTTTCCAAGATGGGCTCTTTGTTCAGCAAGTCCTTTAAACCTGTGCTTTTCAGCTCCCCACTTCTAACAATGAGAACGAGTACATTTTAATGGTCCTTTTAAAACTTAATCTCACCTTCAGCTGACGTGTCACAAGCCCTGCTCCTTGGCCTCTGGCCATTCTGTGGATGCTTTGCATTACGTAACCTCCACCCCCAAGATGAGGTCCAGCTCTGACCTTGGATCTGTACTGCATTCCATGATGGAGCAGAAAAGAGTCTTGATTTCAATAAGTAACCAGAGTGTTCTATGGAGTGACCATCTACTGGTTCTGCAGAAGGTTAGCCTGCAGGTAAATTATTTGAGTTCATGTTTTATGTCAATTGCTGCAGGCCAAATTGAGGGGGTTTGTTTTATTTTGCTTTTAAGAGTCCAGAAACAGTGCCCAGCAGTGCAAATGCTGGCTATAATTCCAACTGAATTCCCTCCTTTCGCAATTGGGCATGGTCGCTGTTTTACCCAGGAAGCTATCATTATTAATGAAATGTATAACAATCTTTATAATTTTGCCAATTTGCTGGTTGTACAGTGGGCTTCTGGTCCTTTAGTAAAACAACCTCAACTCATCCTACCCTATTCTGCAAATCTAGGAGACCAGGACCTCTGGTGCCATTTTTTAAATAAAACCCTAAATAATTGATAGGAAAAAAGGAAAAAAAGAAAACAAAGTGAAATTAATTATCTACAGTAGTTCCCTGAAGAATATACACCCAACATCGTGAATTATGAAAGTTTTAAGTAAGTAAGTTACCATCCTGTATGTGCAACTCATATAAGAAAATAATGAGATAATAAAATGCAACATGTGAGAGAAGCTATAATCTTGGAAATAGTTTACGGTACTTGGCATAACAATATGCATTAAAAAGCTTTGGAGAATTGATAGCATGTCTCTGGCATTAATCAAAGGAGAGAGCCATTATATTTAGCAAATGAGAGAATTTCCGCAACTGGAAGGGTGTCCTCTTGGTGCACAGAATCACTTATCTTTATTCTTTCTCGTGCTAGATGTCCCAAGTTTCTCTGTGTAGCATCACCTTGAGCCAAGAAATTGTCTTGGACAAAAAGAGGTACCAGAGTCTTTACCGAGAGATACCAAGTTTATAGCATTGCATCTGAAAGGTGAGGTGAAGGCAGAAAAGGAAGATTTGGAAAAGGGAGACAGGATGAAACCAGTGGTGCAGAACCAAGCTCATGAGTGTTAAGTAGCCATGGAACAACCCACATATGCAATACCTGGCTTGGTTGAAGTTTAAAGAGATGGATGCTCTCCACTTCCATTTCTTTTGGCTTCATTCTCAAGAACCAGCCTTTACATTAATATAATAAAACCATATTTGACCAAAATAATTAAGAAAAATATTTTTTAATTGAATGACTTTATGGCGGTCCTGCTAAAATATAGTATGTTGTATATCCTTTAACCTAATCTTCAGAAATCAGAATCACCAGAATACATATTAATATTGGATTGTCGGAAAAGTCATGACACATTTTTGCAACAAAAAACAAAAAAAATACGTCATGACTTTTCCGACAACCCAATATTTAATGGTAAAATAGACAGCACAGAAAAAGTAAAAATATGGTGAGATTTAAGATCAGACTGACCTGAATTTGAATCATGGGTCTGTTCCTGTTTCAGTGAACTTGGGTAAGTTTTTCTCTAACTTAGAGATCTCACTTACCTTATCTGATATCAGGGATAACTGAATACCTACCTCTTAGGGCTATTTGTAAAGATTAAATGAGACAATACTAAGCATTTCCTTCTTCCTTAATGTCAACATGGTTACTGGGAGTATGCAGAATTTATCCTCTGGGATAGTTAATTTTATGTGTCAACTTGACTAGACTGTGGGGTACCCAGATATTTGGCTGAACATTATTTCTGGGTGTGTCTGTGAGGGTGTTTCTGGATGAGATTAGTATTTGAATCTGTAGACTGAGTAAAGCCAGTTGCCCTCCCCCATGTGGATGGGCATGATCCAACCTGTTGAAGACTTGAAAAAAGTGGAGAAAGACAGAATTCCCTCTCTGCTTGATACCATCTGTCGTCCTGGTTCTTGGGCCTTTGGACTCCAACTGGAACTACACCACTGGTGTTCCTGGGCCTCCAGCTCACAGACAGCATATCGTAGGGCTTTGTAATCATGTGAGCGAATTCCTTATAATAAATGCATATCTATTTTAAGTATATACATCAACACAGTTGACCCTTGAATAACATGGGGGTTAGCGATGCAGTAAAAAATCCATGTATAACTTAAGTAGACCATCTGCCAACTTCTATCCATGTATTCCTAACCTTGGATCAAAAATACTGTTTCTCATGTGTGGTTGATTGAATCCATAGATGCAAAATCTGAAGATACAGAGGGCCAACTGTATATTCTTTTTTTAAAAATCCACATATAAGTGCACCCATGCATTTCAAACCTGTGTTTCAAGGGTCGACTGTATGCATATTGGTTCTTTTCTCTGGAGAACCCTAATAAACTGTCCTCCTCCATCAAATAGACTGTTGAGCTCACACGTCTGCTTTCTCTATATTTCTTTCAGATGTCTGCTATCTCTTCTTGCTTCTATCAGTATGACTGATAGATTCTTCTCTGCTCAAAAGAGAACTCCACTGGATAAAATTGGGAACATCTATTTTCCACTATAGCCTCTTTTTACTTACTTCCCATGTCTAGGTTGTATTCTGAATAAATAAAATATTACTGGAATTCACTTTTCAGATACACTGATATCTAAACAAGAACAGCCCAGCAGAACAGGCACACATCTGTCTTCCCTCCTTCTTGATCAGCTTCCTATCCTTCACATCGCACCATGTATTCACCCTTTTACATCAGTTTCCTGTGATTTCAGCACCCATGAATCAGTTCCTTGGGGGCCAGACCTGTCCTAAATTTTTTGAAACTGCAAAACTGTAAACCAAGCCCCAAACCATGAAGATCTCATCAAGGGATTGCATCCTGTATGACCTAGCCTGAAACATTCATCAGTGAGTTTCATCTTATAAAAATCACAACACAAGTTTTTGGAAATAAATGAAATCAAGTTCTTTTTCCATATTTAAGATATTCTAAAAGCCAAGTTTTCACATGCAAACATTCAGTCTGTATATTTATATTTCTTAATCAGTTGCCTATAAGGAATTTAATCAAAGTATAAAGAAGAGTTTTCTGACAAGGTGATTGTTTCCAAATTGAGTTCATAAGAAAGATGGTGAAATTGTCCTCTCTAAATCTCTTTATGACTAGGTCTAATTAAAAGTATTTATACACAGCACTTCCTAAAGCCAGACATTGATGATCAAGAAAAGACTCCCCCTGTCAGATGATTCTCTGATACTATAAACTAGAAAATCCAGAGTAGAATGTTATTTTCATACATTTTGATAGTTTTGTTTCATGATAATTATAGGAGAAAAATGAAAAGAAATGGAAATTGGCCTTTAGCAGCCATTTTAGTGATACAATCTCCATTTTAGGTTTCTAGAATGAAGACAATAGTCTAAGAGAGAAGAAACAAGATTTTATTCTTAGTGTGGTAAAAGATATTGTGTTAAAATGTTCTTATTGTCGTGGGGTAGAGGGAGGAGAAGAGGAATATGCTAAATATGCTAGACTACCTGCTATAGACTGAATGTTTGTGTCCACCCCCACCTCGTATCTTGAAATCCTAACCCCCAATGTGATGGTATTAGGAGATGCGGTCTTTGGGAGGTACTAATTCAGTCATGAGGGTAGAGCCTTCATAAATGGGATTGGTGCCTTTACAAGAAGCTACGGAAGCATTTGTCCTCCACCATGTGAGGACACACAAGAAAACGGCCATCTGCAAACCAGGAAGACAGCTTTCACCAGATGCTGGACCTGCCAACACCTTAACCTTAGACTTCTCCAGCTTCAGAGCTGTGACAAATAAATGTTTGTTGTTTAAGCCACCCAGTCTATGATATTCTGTCATAGTAGCCACTACGTAAGACCCTACCCTGAGTTATTGTACTTGATGTTGTCTTTTACCGTAACTTTGGCAAAGGGGCCATGTAGTAAGCTGTTCTTTGACTAGAAGATGATTCAAACTTCCCGGAAATCATTAAAGTTGTGTTAACAACAATGCATAATAATATGAATGTGTTTGGGTTTTACTCGTGTAGCCTTGTTATTAATACAGAATCGTGTTTAATTCTTAAAATGGAAATGTCAAGTATGACTTTTATGACTTTGTGTTTGGCTTATATTTCTCTAAAGCCATTTTCACTCCCTTTTCAGATATCATGTTGCACATGAAATAAAATAAATGCTTTAAACTTTTGAGTGACTCTCACTTCCATCTCTTTTTTGAGCATACCAATAACACTGTGAAAATGATGCACACTACATATATGCAGAACCACAATCAAAGGTTTAACCACAATTAAACCTTCACAGTGACATTCTGTAAGAAGGCACTGTTTGCCAAGAATAACCTTTTCACAAAATCCTCCTAATGACTGCATCATTCTGGAAATCAATGCAACTCACTTGTAAATTCTGCAACTGGCCTAAGAGGAGGAGTACGAGGGACAATGGTTCCAAATTCAACCCGTGCTTTGAATTTTCTTTTTAATTTATTTTCCAGGTTTCCTTCTTTTTTCAGCCCATTATAATGGTGCTTTATTTTAGACTGTTGATTTATTCATGTGAAATGAAGATGGAAAATACATCTCGAAGTTAGAAAACCTGGGTTCAAGCCATGGGTCTCCCACTTACTGTCTTACTTTGAGTAAATTATTTTACCAACTCCTGTCCGCCTTTTCCATCTTTAAATTAGAGATGGTGATGCCCATCTCCCAAAGTTATTACAAATATTAAATTGTTCACATAAAAATTTTGTGAAATCTAAGGCATTGTATAAATGTTAAAATACTTGGGAGGGGGATTTCCTGCAGTTGTTACTATTTTAAAATATTAATATCTTCAAAGCTAAATATAGTATCACAATCAACCACGAGTTGAAATCCTTGGCATAGGTTTCAGAGTAAAATAAAGAATCCGCTTGCAAATTCAGTTGCTATTTATCTCATGCCAACACCAGTGTTGGACTCAGCATAGTATAAAGCATATAGTAGTCTGTTGCATATACGGGACTTAATCTGTTCAGCACATCTTGTTGGCCCCAACTGCCCCATGTGTTACTTATTCCCCTCTCTACTCAAATTCCATTCTTTTCGGTCCTCCCGTACCTTTCTTCTTGTTTTACATTATGTAAGTTATTTTTGCACAATAAGCAAACATCCTAAGTACGAAGAAAAATGCCCATAGTACTTTCCACCTAAGAAATGCATACCTTTCATAAAGGTACTAGCGGTCATCGCACACTAGTGTCCGCCTTGACTGTGGTCTCATCTTTTTATCAGGCATGTCTGCGTGGCTGAGAATCCCAGGGCAGGAACTCTGTCTAATTCCGTCTGTGAGTCAGGGAGAGAGCATTGTCGTTCAATAAATGCCAAGAAGCAACAGCATCCATGTGAGGGGAATAGGTGGGAATTATTATTTCTGTCTATTGCAAGGTGAAAATAAAATCGGCACTTCACAATTTTCAAAGCATTCTCGTATTGATTATCTCGTGCGTCCACCAGAGTGACGCTGTGGGAAGCTGCATAGGGCAGTTTTACCGTTAGCCTCCTTGTATGAAAGCAGGAAGTGAGACCGGGGGGTTAAATGCTCGTCCAAGAGCCTCTACAAGCCAGCGACACAGCGAGAGCAGAATCCAAACCCCAGAACCTCTACCCCGTGCTCGTCTCAATGGACGCTGGGGTTACGTCATGGCCATAACCGTGACTGCTCTGTGAACACGCTGAGAAGCCCCTCTATTTTCTTTCCTTTATAGCTCAGCTCTTAACGCTGACCTTGGCCCACAGCAAGTGCTTAATAAATACTTATTTAATGAACTAATTAATAGTATGGCTATCCTATCAGCAGGACTCAAGAACTAATTATTGAGTGCATGCCAAGGCCTCATATTCTGGCCTTCTAGGCGGCTGCTCAATGCACGGAAACCATCGTAGACATTCATTTTCTGTGTCATTTAGTGAAACTTGCGATGCCAACTTCCAAGATCACTTTCCAGCCCTATCGTTCTCCCTAGAAGCCGCGGCCTCCGTTCCGCAGCTCAGGCACAGAGCCATTTCCCTATTGGACTCAACGGTAAGCTGCAAAAATGTAGTAAGTGAAAGCACCTTAAAAACTCCAAGCTTAACCTTTCATTTCGTTAAGAAAACCTGTGGTGTGTTTACTGCTGAAACTTTCTGGGTTGTCCAGAAGTCAGACACTAATGCCGGACACACATGCCTTTGCAGCTGAGCCTGCTATTAATGTCCTCTGTTCGTGCTCATGGCACGAGAGTGCGGAGATGTTTGTGTGCTATATTGAGCTTTGAAGAGCGCTGGACACACAAGCCCGATTATGCAATAAGAGGGTTGGGGACCAGTAGAGAGAAACGAAGGGAAGGGTGTGACAATGACTGTGCATTTTTCAGCGGCTGCTTTCCTGAGATGTGGCTGGAAAGGGTCAGTAATCTTACTGACTAGACGACATTGGCGCTGATGGAGTTGCTCACCTATTAGACGTCCTACAACCCTAGAAGTTGCCAGAATCAAATGACAACGCAAGTGGTGGATACATGCACTAGCTTAGGGACCAAATCAATATCCTTCCTATATATGTTATCATTTTGCAGATGTATTTTAAGTCTTTTAGTAGCATTTTGGCGAATTATCTTTTCAAAATGGTCCATCAAGGAAGTAAGTGGTTAAACGTACTAAGTCTTACTACTTAGAATCATAATCAATTCAAGAGACTACCAATCCCTTCTCACCCAAACAGCCTCTGTCAAACACTAGTATTGCTGAATTGCAGCTCACATCATGTCCTTAGTTCAGTTTCTTATTTTCCAGAAAAAAAAAAAAAAAAAAGAAAAACATCAGTCCCACTCTTTTTCTTGGAAGGAAATCTTATCTAAAATGAAGACCTTATGATAATATCTTCTGATAACATTTTGGATGGTCACAGAATACACACCCTGCCTTCATGAATGCATCCAGGGTCAACATGTGCTACTTCAGTTTTATTATCCCTTTAATAAACCATCTGAGATTTTAAGTACTTTTTCAACTTTTCATATGAAGTACGACGTCTGAGACACATTCAGAGAAAATGACGGAGGAAAGTGAGTGCCAGCTCTCAGCTCCGCGACCCTGAGGTCTTCTTGTTTATCTTGCTTAAACTTTAATTTCCATATAGTAGTTAGGCATATATCAGCTAATATCTCTGAACAGGGCAGAAGAATATAAACACGCATACATATTGACACTAGCTAAATTAACAAACCTGAAAATCTAAATATCAACCAGTCCTATTTAAAGTAAAACCTAGAAAAATACCTGTTAGGTTTTACTCAAGTGTGTGTGTGGGGGGGGGGGGGGGTATTTTTATAAATAGGAGTGAACAAATGCAAGGCCCTAAAGTAACATAATGTCTTGCCCTTTGGTGTTCTACAGTATATTTCACTGTACTTAATGGTGTTTTCTACAGTGTTATTTTTCTTACATTTTAAATGTACTACTACTAATACATGCTCTTTAAGGAAATTCTGTTGTTATTTCTCTTACAATTGTGTTTAAGAATAATTATCAACCACTAATTTTTTTATTGTCGCAAACATAGATTTTCATAATGAAGTTGTCCACAGGCTCACCGACGCTCTGAGTTAATTTTTAATCAGATATTGAGCATCGCCTACATTTCAGGCATGGTGATAAAGCACACCGATCACTTCCTGTGGGGCATGCATTATTATCCTCATTTTTTACAGATGACAAAGCTCCGCTTCAGAAAAGTCAAATAAGTTCCCAAAGGTAAGAAAACTAATAAATGTTGGTATCTATCGACTCCGGGTCTGTCCTTCTCTAAGGCCTGTGCCTTTTTTCAGCATGTCACGTGGCCTCTCCAATTTTAAAATCATCAAGTATATATGTACTGGCAGACATACCTGCACACCAGCAGAGTAGGGTTCTTTCCCTTTTAAAAATAGCCCTGGCATCCAAGAAACAATCACCCTGGACGGACGTGTCGGCCGAGAGCTCCTGACATCCTGGGATACACCTGCCTTGACTTGAAGCTTTACAAATCCTAACTAGCACCGGGCCAACCCTGATGAACCATCCTGCCTCTCAGTGAAGCAAATATGATTTGTGAGGGAGACCGTTCCTGCACTTCTAAACGGTGGTGTCATCAGGTATAAAAACTAACAGCAGATTTTATAAGTTATGTATTTCTATAATGAGAGAATCCCTTATTATTCACTGGGAATAGACTGCATTTGGGGATGCTGTCAGAGATGGCAGAAATAGCAATTGAAATTCTGAATACATTAGAACCACAGCATGTTGCAAACCAATTAAAATTGACAATCAAGTGAAGCTAATACACATGGATAAATATAGAAAATTCAAGTTGTTGTTGGGGTGGTTTCCCCTTCTTTACTCTTTAATAGTTTGTTTGTTTGGTTGGTTTCCCCCTTCTGAACATTCCAGTTCATTTTGTTAATCTTTTTCTGTTTGGTTTCTGAATTTTAATCAACTTGAATGCTGACAGATATCAAATTTTAATTCATAGTAGAAAATCTTGGCACCTTGATGTATCCAGTGCCCTGGTGTTGGGAAACTATCGCTAACTACAAGTACCAGCTTTTGTAGACAATGTATAATTTTCATAATCTTAAACCAAGATGGGAAAAATAGATACTGCACTACACGTTTCAGCCATGTGTTCACCTCTCTGTCGTAAGTTAGTATTGGCAGCTGAGTAGGAGATTACAGGATACAGCTGCTTTCACCTTCAACAGTAAATGGTGCTTGCTGAATTGCCTCCATGTGTCTCTAAAGCCCAAAAAGCTTAAAAATATAGGCTTGATGCTAATGATGAGAAAACACAGTAATTTAGCATCACTGATGCTGGGGGAGAGTTAAGGCTAAATATATTGCTAATAGAGGTTATGGAATTTGTTTTTCTGAAGTTCTTGAAGAAAGTTTTGTGTAAATCATGCCCAACTCCAGGAGACTAATTTGATATAAATGTAAACAACATAGTAGGTCCTTAAAAAACATAGTAGGTCATCAAGTAGGTACTACTTGAGTACCTACTACAAATCATGCATTGTACTGGAGGCTTACATTATCTAGCTTCGTTTTCATAACATCCCTATGGAGTAGGCATTGTTATCACCATTATACA